GTCTAACTAGTGTATTATTTGTATGAGTCCAAGCAACGAGAGTCGCATCTTCTAAAACTACAGACCATCCGCTGACCGCTGTGTAGACGTGCGCCGGGCCTCGAATTTGGCGCACGTCTCCACTGCGGACAGCGCTTCATACTTATCCCGCGGACATACATACATATCCCGCGGAACTGCGCGTCTCATCCGCGCGCAGCGCTTAGGATCAACAGCAAAGCTGTGCCACGCAATCTTGTATCATGTCTCTCTGGACGTGAAAGGTTGTGTGCTGATTTTATAGATTTTTATCCGCACGCACGGACGCACTGACACGCCAAGATAACTAATACCTGTTGATATTTCAAGAGTAAAAGTACGATGCACCTATGAACCCTATAATGTGTGCTTGCTAGCATATATCTGCTGTGTTATGCGACAAAACACTGCGAATTATGAGCGAGTTGCAGATATGTAAACCAGTTTCTCTTCTGCTTTGCCACCTCCGAAAAGGTTGACATGCTCTTACAATTTGTGTTTGCTGTAGCTGTCGCCTACATAATCTATAATGTGTTCTATTCTCGAGTGGTGCAACCAATCTGCGGGAAATATGCCCAACCAGGTAAGCACCTGTTCGGCAGCATCTGCGCCATGCAAAATTCCTGCAGACTTATTCTTATATATTATCAATAGTAAGCCCTTCATAATAGAGACTCTATTATGTACTCTTGATATTATCCCTCAATTTCTATAGATTTCGTTTTAATATATATGAAATTATTATCGGATTATTTATACGATTAATTTTCAAACTCGAATTTCATCGATATAAGCACATTTATTTGCGCAGGTTCTTGGTACTTGAGCAAACGCGCGATCGCGTGCATCTACTGTGTGATTAGGAAATGGAGGCAGCCAGACGATGGGCAACAACCACGACTGGATCGCACCCGCATGCATCCAGAATGTCTCGTTGCGCAACAGGAAGAAGCACAACCTCTTTGTGATAATCAAAATGTACGGTAAAGGAACGTGCGTCAATAGAAAATAAAACTTTAATGTTATTTCTAGCTGGCGGGGCTATCACATACGCACATACGCCGCGCGTGTGTGGTTCTGCGTGCGTGCATGCATGCAGCTAGGTGTGAGTGAACGTAGGTACGTATGTGCGTATGTGTCTACGCATGCGTGTATGTACGCGCGTATGTGTGTGCCTGCACGTGTGCCCGTGTGGTAGTAAGCGCCGGTATGCGTGAATATTATTGCATTAATTATTATTAATAGTATTGATCACGTAAATTTCTGTGCTTCTAAGTCGGGTGTTTAGTTGCCCGTGAACCACCTCTATAGGCCTACACATGGTTTGACCCACCGGCACTTGGAAAGTTTTAATAATAAAATGATGGTAAATAAACACGAAATGGATTTACTACTAAAGTCTTAATGTTTCTCTACTCTCTTTCGGCTATTATTACTGATAATTTCCTGTAAATGCCGTTCAAATGCCTCTGCAACGCACAATTAAGTACACCGTATACGTAGGGGAACCCGGGGCAAAGCGGAACACAGGGCAAAGTGGAATTGTCTCAGCAGATCTATGCTGATGCCCCCATCTATCTGTGACTGTTTTCATTAGAAGCTCAGTTGATGATGCATCGTTTTTGATGGA